TGAATATGACCTAACCGTAACAAACATGAACCACAGTGGAAATAGTCCCACTCACTAAAATTCAAGACGGCCTCATTATTTTGTACAGGGCCAACAGCTTTGACGTTTGATTCAGGCTCTTTTGTTGCCGACGGATCTTTTTTTTTTGACAAAACACCGGATGCAAATGCGCTGTCTTTGTGACACGTGTGAATCTTATTGACTTATTTCCATCAATATGTTCAGAGGCGAACATCATGTTCCCAGACAAGTGCAGAAACATCACAGGCTTTGAAAGGAGCAAGAAAGAAATTATAAGCCCTGCCTATTACCCAGTGCAGTTTGTGCACTTGCTATCAATAGAGACTAATGACTCACTCAAACTAAATTGCATATATTGGTAAATTGTGTCCATTGTACAGTAGACTGCATTCATTTTTCAATCTTTGCCACTTGGCCATCTTTTTATTTTTCAAAGACTCTGCTACCTCCACATTTGTAAAAACAATACGTAGTCACACATTCGGAGTGTTGAAGTCAGGTAATTACCATATCTTTCAAGTTGGCATTAGTTTCTTTTCATTAAGGCACAAAACCTTGACTACTTGCATATTGATTGAAATTTCCATCATCTGTCATCTCACAGGATAATCATAAGACATTACCTGCATTGCATCTCGTAACAAATTATGGATCCAACAACAAAAAAAGAGTTCAGACAGCAAGGCAGAATGTATCAATCTGTCTAGACAGGCACGCTGCCTCAATCTACCACATGAAAGGCCGTGATTATTAATGGAAAGTTAATTGTGTTTCCTTTGAATGAGACTCGTTGTTTAAAATGATGTTGAATGAAATATTTATAATTCTTACAGGTTAGGAGAAACCCACCTGACAGATCTGCTGCTCTACACTAAATTAAGACCACTGTGAAAAACGTGAAACCGTTCCAGAACCAGGGACACAAACCCTGTGATTCAGGAAGAGGGAGACAGCAGGTAACCTTCTAAAAACCTTCTGATAGCAGGGCTCTGGTGTCTCGGGTTGACACACCGAACAGGAAGGGGCCTCCTGTGGACTGTGTTTTTCACACAGTTGTCACCCAGCGTGTAGTATTGTGGAAAATGCAGGAACTGGATGAGCTCTGAGTTCTACAAGTGGCAACACTTCAGATTAGGAGTGGAAAATGACACTGAATTCTGCATAACTTGCAATGTACTGTGTCAATGAAGCTTTAATAGTGTTGGCAATGTCTGAGGACATGATGCCTAGGAATGATCAACTGCATGCTTATTGACCACATACAGACTTCATATATATATATATGCTTAATTCTTTAAATTAAGCAACTCCTAAACAAAAACATGAATGGAATATAACATACACTGTGGCAGATACAATGATGCATGGTAGTTTTGTATTTTCTCTATGGTATCAATGCATACAGACTACAACATGAAGAAAAAAGGCAGCGATAGTCAAAATTAAATATGGTGTATGCAGTTTCCAAATACCCTTCAGTTAACCACTTTTCCAGAAAGCACATTGGATTGTTACACTGCAGTGCGACTAGTTGCCAGGTCACATAAATGTACAAGGAGAAGGCAACATGCACCTGCTGCGCTCATCTTTAGGAAAAGACAACCGTACAAATATTAGATTTTGTTCTCGAGTAATGGATGGTAAACTACCCAGAATATGCTCCCGCAATGACATGAGAATTCTTGAGAAAAATTGACATAATGACTCAGCAGCCTGAACATTGAATGGTGCTGTCAGAGTACCTTGGCCTCAGGAAATACTGGGTTGGCTGTACTGAAGCAACTGGCTTTACTGAAGAAACTAACATTTAAAACACAGTAACTCTGCATTTTAATATGACAGTACAAAGAGGCAAAAGCCAGCCTCCCAGCCAGTAGGGGCAGAAAAGCAGAGTGGCTCTGGTGTTTCTTCTCAGGAAACCGGTTCTGCTGCAGCAGCTCGGGGTTCCAGAATCAGACCTCCCACTGATTTCAGCTCTGCAGGCTCGGAGTAGGCTGAAACCTGTTCAATAGCAGTGACCGCCTATAGTGAGAAAGAGATTTATAAAGTAACTTGCAGTATCTTACACGTGCCTGGAGCACACCAGAATGAAGAACAACTCAGCCCTCCACTATTTATATGGAAGAAAAAAAACTCAATCAAAGATGTTTAACTTTCACATATTCATGAGTACATAATGATGTACCGTGTACACAAACAGCAAATGTTTACTAAGCCTACATACGATTTGGAATTTAAGCAGTGTATTTTAATAAATACAATACAATTTAATAAAATCTCCTCCCATAATAAATTAATTTGTAATGTAAGAAATCAGTATTAATAATTGAGAAATGTGATATGTTCCTTTTTGGACAGTGCTGGACACAGTTTTCATTTCCCTCTAGTTCAGGTTACCAGGTCCACTATACAACCTCGATACAGCTATTCGGGGGCAGACATTACATTAAAGGGTTAATTCTGTGTGAGAAGTTCAGCACGTTCGTTTCCTTTTCTAAGAGTCAACTCCCCTCATAGAGGCTTTAAAAAACAACAATCGCACCCCAATTTGTGCGTATAGCAATCACGTGGAAATAAAACCCTCATGTTGTTAAACAATCCCAGAGAGGAGAAAGCAGGTGGAGGGGATAGATTAACAACTTTCCCTGCTCACGGACCACAAGGCAGATCTGTTACACCTGTTCAACACCTCCTTAAAGAGACAGATAAATGAGCTGCCCGTGCTTCCTGAGCTGCGAAAGTCACAGGGCTGTCTCTTCATATCTAAGATTCTTGGATATCCATAAAAGCATTGTAACACATCCTGGAACGTGCAATGGCTTCAATAAGAAATGCTAATCTTGGAAACATCGTGGTGGTTTTGCTCCTCTACGGACCTTAGAGTGATCATTCGAAAGGTGGAACTTAAAATAAAATACAGCGCAGGAGTATCTGTTTCATATTAGTGGTAGAATACATCGCAGGATTGTCAAAGAATAAAAGATACTTGTTAATATAATAATAATAATAATAATAATAATAATAATAATAATAATAATAATAATAATAATAATATCAAAGTACGCCTAGTTGCAGACAACACCCTTTTAAATTCGGAATTATCGATCATTCCGCCTTGGACCAGCGGGACCAGGGCTCCTCTCACACGCCATACCTGCGTCATCCCAGCGTACCTCTTTCCAGTTGCTTCGACATTTAGCGCTCTAGAACAAACTTTTCTTTTACAATATCTCCGTCCGCAATTGACACAAATCTTTTATAGACATAACCGGTAACGTCTGACAGCCTTCACTGACAAGCACGGAGCAGCCCTGCTTGACAAGCAGTCCTGAAATTGTCCTGCTAAGCGTGGACTTTGAAACTCGGCGCCTTGTGTAACCGAAAGCTAACGATTCCTTTTTCTTAAGGAGAGAAACGTGATTTGTTTTACTTGCTACGAATGGAAAAGAAAATCTGATCTTTTGGGAAATTGATCAAAGTAGGGTTAGAAACGCATATGACGTGTGGACTGTAATAGAAAGCTGCATTTTAGACACCCATTAGAATACTACAAATTCTAAAAAGCACTTGAATGTAAGTTTTGTCCCGTCTAGAATACGAGGATTTATCTTCTATGAACGGAAAGTGCGGTGGCTCAAATAATACAAACCACAGCTTTGACTTCACAATTCATTGGGGTGCCCCTCCCAACCGTCAGGAGCTTTAGGAAATTGTGGATTCGTCTTCTTATATTCCCGACAAGACACTCAAGTCAGACGCAAGGGCAAGTGGGTGGAATCCATCGAGAGATTCAGAAGGCTCACTGTAATGGACAAGAATGGACTCCGCACAGCCCGTTCGTCTCAGATCTGGGAGCTGCCGGAGGAGACACGGCGCCGGGCGCTGTCCAGGGTGCTGAAGAGGGGGCTTCTCGCACGAGCACAGAACAGAACCACACAGCTGCTTGCTACAGCACGGCTCAAATAAATAGTCAAATCTCGTTGGCTTTTAGGCGGTCAGTTGACTTTTGCTCCTAGTTTGATTCTATGCCCAATTCACTTGAAGACAGAGATTGGGAGAGATCTTTTTACCCGTGGCGATCCTTTTTAGTGGGGTTTATTTTCTCACTCAGTGGATGAATTTAGTTGAATTTTCATTCACAGAAGGAAAAGCAACTTGAAAATGTAAGACTCTTTTTTAAGTCAGGCTTAACTTTATACAACACAATGAGGCAGACGGCAGTAAAGTATTTAATCATCTTTATTTATACCTCAATATACGCGCGATTCAATAATATGCGCGGAGTAACTCCTTTTCAGACAACTATTAATATTCTGTTACGCGTGGAAAGCGAGCTTGTGTTGTCAAATAGTACGACAGACTACCATAGACTTGAGGAAGAGTAACTTTCTGTGTATTTAATAATACCAATCTGTGAGGTCAACACGTGGCTCTCGCGTTCCCTGTCACACGTATTAATGACATAATCAGAGGATGAAGTTGTTTCTCCATGCTCTTTCAGTGGGAACTGACCAATCGGAGGTCTTCTGATCACACAGAGCCAGGAATTCTTTTGTCTTTCAATATTTGCTTTTATATAGTAGTCCAACTAAAACATCGGAAAAATATAACCAATATAATAATTATATACTTATATTAATGTTATTCTTAAAAAGGCAGGTGGGAAAGACTTTTCCACCGAAAGAACTACCGAGAGCTCTGTTCCCAATTCTCTAAATGTAAAAATAACGTTCGCCAGCAGATGTCGCTATTGACTTCAAAATATTGTGCTTCAAAGTTTCCTCATCGAGGCTTTCAGCCGCTGAGCTCCTGTACCATCTCGTAAAACTACTCCGTGTTAAAATAAATTAACCTAGTTCCATGTGAATTATCGGATAGTTTTCGTAGTCTATACTACTGTTACACAACATGGGTTTCATTGAATCTACTATATAAACAATACTGCCCCGTCCTACGTTTGTACGAAACGATATTGCACATTATCAAGAGGTGAAGTTCATAATAAGAAGGGTATTGTTCATTTACATTTCATAAAACAGGGAAATATATGCGACGCAGCTGTTGAATTTCCCTTAGGCTGGTTAAAAATGCAGTAACACTTTTTTGAAAAGGCGAGGCTCGTTAGAGGTGAAGGAGTTATTCATTCCCAGTCCCAGATTGTGCACTTCCGGTGGTGTATCCCCAAGAGTGACTGGGGCTGGCGCAGGATTGAACCCCGCTGTGTCCGAAAGCATACAAAACCTTCAAAAGAGCACCCGATTTTTTTTTCTCTTTTTTTAAAAAAAATCAACTGATATCTTGGAGGCAGCGTGATTAAACGGAATCTTAAATGCTCTTTTAGAGGTGAATCTACTCCTCTCTAGATAAACAAGAACGGGTCCGTTGGCAAAAAGACGTGCTCCAAGTAAAACAAAATATAAAAAGGCCTTTTTTTCTGCCTTCCATTGCGCAAGCTTGGGTGATTAGTAGCTTGTTATACGGCACTAAACCTTGCAGAGCAATTTCCACAAAAAGCGTAACCTTTTCATACACTGATAAAACACAAAAGCGTTACCCAGAAGGTCGCCTACTTTTGTCTAATGAAAAAGGCAGTCTTGGAATCCGGCAATTCCCCGTGCACTCCTGACATAATGGCGAAGAATGGCTTTAGAAAACTTTTGATTAGCAGTACTAATCAAGGTCTCGAAACTGTCTGACTGTAATTATCATTTTAATATCTATAGACGTTTTCAGGAGCGGCTGGTCTCGGTCAATTGCCCGGTGTCCGAGCCTGAAGCTGTCACCGCACTGGGGTCTCGATTACGGTTGGGCGGGCACTTTGAATGCCAGTCAGAGTAACTGGGTCTGAGTCCAGACAATACGCCGGCTTGTGAAGGGGCTGGACGTCAAACAATCGGACGCTTCAGTCGACGAAATGTGCCATGAAAACCTAACTTGACATCTTTTTGTTGTTGTTGTTGGTGGTGGTGGTAGACCGGTTAGCCAGTAATGGGCTCTAACCAAACGAGAGCTTTGTTACCAACAGACCGGATATCTTACACTGCCGGTTTGATTGCGGCGGGGCTGTACCTGCACTAGGGGAGCGCTGAGGGGGGGTAGGGGTAGGGGTAGGGGGGGTTCTCTCGAGTGGACCCGCTAATTAATGAGGCGGAGATGGAGGCTCTTGCTGCTTGGAATGTTTTTTTTTTTTGTTCCCGCTTTCTTTTCATAACAGTGGCAATTTTTTTTTCCATGCTTGGAAGGAGTGGCCCAGTTGTTGAAAGATGCCTGTTGAAGTGCCCACTTCAAGACGGGCGAAGGGGGACGGGAGTGGGCTGCACACAAAAAAAACAACAAAATGAGGTGGAGTCAGAAGAATATGCATTTTTGCCAGATCTGTGGATCTCGATTTGCAGAGACGATGGCATTCGGGACCCGTTCGAAATTCTCCACACACACACAAAAATGACGGTGCAACGTCTGCTAGTACTACCAATAATAATAATAATAATAATAATAATAATAATAATAATAATAATAATAATCATCATCATCATCATCATCATCATGGTTTATTTTCCCCATTATCTTCTGCTTCGTCTGTCAGATCAAATACATTGCGTCTCAAAGATGTGCAATTGACCGGGTGCTTTCGGGTATACTGGAATATTATGCCAGACAGACATCTGCCTGGGACACCAGACAGGGCTAGAGATGGATGGCGCAGGGCCACCGGCCCACACATCTTCCCGCCTTTCCGCAATAATGAGGCAACTGTCAAAGATCCGCTAAACAGAAACACGTTCTTGCCTTTTGCTAACAAATGACATCTTCACCACTTAAGACACAAACGCCTTGTTCCTTTACGAACAGGAATGGAACGTGTCCCCTGTCTTTTTTTGTTTTTTGATTTGGTGTGATAATTTAGTTTTACAAATGTTACACCACGGCGAAATTTCCACAGTGGAGGAAAAATCGTTTCCTTTGTCATACTATGTTTAATTTGTGTTTTCCCCCCACTGAAATTAAATACGACATAGGAGGCCAGGAACAGCCCAAAACAGTCGAGGGATGAACGCCGGGGCACATCGCCACATTCGTGGCCTCGCTGGGGTTGCGGGGGAAAAAACGCGGCAACAGGTTATTTCATTCGAGATTGGAGGGGATTCAAACACGTCTTCGTTTCCTTTAAATATCAACGAGAAAGTAATGGCAAACTACCACCGCCGATTCTATTCTCTTTTCTAAAAGTTCTCTTTTAGTGATTAAATGAGCAAAAACCTCGCATCTTGACACTGGAAGTGCTTGTCAGTGCGACAGAAGAGAAGCCTTTGGTCAGATCCTGCTGAGAGAGGTTTCTCCTTGAGACAACACGATTACGTGTAGGGAAGGAAATAAAGTTTAAACCCAATTGAATTCTATTCGCATCCTGTTTTGGAATCGTTCAGAGCATTTAAGGTTGAAGGGGCTCTTCATAATAGTAAGTATGCAGTTCAGTCTCCCAGTACTCAACCCTTATATTTCGATACATAAATGAGCGCTAGGCTGTGGCAGTGTACGAGAGTTATCCTGACCATCCTTTACGAAAGTACAACTGACTGGATATAATATAAAAAAATCACGGAATGTATTAGTTACCAAACTTAACAGAGTAGCAGTCTTCAGACAGTCAAATGCAACGATTAAGCCCCGTCCACCTGCAGCGCTATGCCGCCACATTCTCACAGGTGTGGACATCTCTTTCAGACACTACCGTCGAATTTTCTGCTGCGAAAATAAGAATTAGCACACAGGATATCGACTGAAAATTAAAACAAATGTTAATTCGTCACGTTCTTCACAAATTGCATTTCACTTCGGATAATCGCACAATAAAGGGTTCCGTTAGTTTACTCAACCCGCGGCCCTGCATTTGATCCTAGCCTGCTCTTTGTGTTACGCATTTAACCGCGTAATTGAGAAAACGACTTTCCCAAAAAACAAGCTATTTGTTAAACAGTCGTCTGCGTCACACATCCAGGAGGAAGTACTCATTAAGTGTCACGGGACCATTTAACAACTTCGTTCACCATTAATTGTTAGTGATTAGGGGGCGTAATGTTTAGCATTCGCCTTAATCAAAATAAGAAAACAGTTATAGAGGTCACGGGGGAAATAAATGAAGGTTCATTTTTGCCGCTATGCTCTATTTCATTTTAATTAAGGAAATCTTCCATACTCACCTTTGCAATCAGTGCAGCTGCACCCCGGGTAACGTCTTTCTGTTTTTTTTTTCCCCGAACATGTCGCAGACTCTGTTGACAGCTAACTCTTTCAGAAAAAAAAATCCTTATTAGCTGCTCCTGTGCACAAAACATGGGGAGAGAGCTTTTGTTCGTCAAAGGGCTCAAGCGCCGTCATTAGCGCTTATTACGCTGATCAGTTTGACAACCTTATTGACTGCTAAAAAGACTTTACGTACCCCCCTCTCTGCGGCTGCCCTCGTTTTCAATGGAAACGGAAATATTCGAACTTTTTTTTTTTCACTCGGGCTGAATGAATAGCAACCCCTTTCCCTTTCCCCTCAATCTTTTCCTCCTCTCTTTCACGCCGGAACAATATTTTACTCCCTATTTTGTTCCTCCGCTGAAAGAAGTTAAGAAAATAAAGCTTACTCGCTTTGCTCCCGACAGTAATTAATCACAAACGGCACCCAGGTGTGCTCACGTCCACAAACGGTCGGCTAGAACTTTTTCAATCTGTCGGTTTTTTTTTTTTGTGTGACCTCTTTCTCGTCATTCGGGGTGGTGGTCTTTATCTTTTCCACACACACACACCACGCGAGTCCCGACAGCCGCACGGGGCTGCCACCCTGCCAGAACACAGGGACAGGCAGGGCCTGTTCGATTGTAGCTATCGAAAGTAGTCGAGTTGATTATATTGCTGTTGGCTAAGGCAACATCAAATTGGGAACATGTACCTCCATAAAAGAAAAAGCCGGATGGCAACGATTTAGCCAGTATAAATTGACCACGTCTTCGTTTTATTCGTGGTAGTAGTTATAATAATTCACAGTGCGGCGCGTTTTGAAAAGAACACCCATCTTATCTCGATCTGTTTGCCCTAGTGCCCCTGGCGACATAGCAAAGACGTAGAGCACCTCAAGGCCAGTAAACACCTCTCCAAAACACAGCAGCCCCGGCGTCCCCCCGACCTCCTCCTCTCTGATGCTCAGATATTCTCATTTAAGAAAAGAAGAGAGGCTCGCTGGTACGTTTCAAACTTTTATAGATGACCCCACGTGAAGAGGGAACCCCCGATAGGGTAGCCTGCTCGCACAGTAGCAGGAAAAGCCCGAAACAGTGCAGTAGTTTCTCCTACCTTAGATTCTCGAGGACGAACACGCGTGTAAAAGGCATTCGTGTCTTCAGGCAAAGCGGAGAATCACTCGAAACCTCGTCGCGAGGTGCCCGGAATTTTCCAGATAAAAATACGAAACCGAAAGGCCCCACAAGTAATCAAATCAACTCAAACTAATGCTGAACACAAGGAAAAAAGCAGCAACACACTACAGCTCCAGCGATTCTGCAGATTTATCACGCATTCGACTGAACATCTTTGTTTTCCTTTTATTTGCATATAAATTTCACGAGGCATTTTCGCAGACAATTACACATTCAGGATTTCTCTGTGCCACGTATAGACATTTTGAGTTCAATGACTATTGCCATTTTCAATTCAATTCGATCCTCATTTTCTATATCAGGAAAAATAAGAGAAAACCAGCATTTAACGAAAACGTCAAACAGCAAACAACCGTTGGCGCTATTAAATGAAAAGACACTACTATCAAATACACTGGTCTATTCTGAAATGTGGGCGAGGCAAATAGAAAACGACAATACGGTATTATTTTATTTTTGACATGGTCCTCTGGAAATAAAAAGGAATGCCTGACGTCTTCTAGATACGGTGCAGGCCACATCTGATCACCCCGGGTGGTGTCACGCCCGAATTTCAATGTTCAACCAGAAAAATAAATAAAAGACAGCGACTATATTCTGGTTTCACACTGATTTGTTAAACTCCTTCGGGTGTTTGAAACAATAATGACAGCAATGTTTAAGCACTAAAGTCTGATCTCAGCTCTCGTTCAACTGCGCAAACGCAGAATTATTTTGGAATAAACGATCGCCTGGAATCGGATAGTTGCGCTTGTTTTAAACTGAATGAGAGAAGCTGTCAGCGCCGTCAGATTGCAGAGAGATGTGCGCCGACCCCGGAGCTAGAAGCTGGATCTCGCAGCCAAAAAGAGACCAGCCAAAGCGACTTAAAGATCGGTGTCAAATTGTGGACTATAAAATCCTTCTCCGGGCTCGGGCGGGACTTAGCAGGAACGGATTTCTTATTTATCCCAGCAAGGATGTTTTCCTATTATACAAAACCTAATATTTTCCTTAGATTGTCATTTACAGGACGAACGGTAACGCCGGCGGAGTTCTAATAAAAACCCCAAGAAATTTGGGCAGAAGCGACCGCCACCCGTCTAGTTTCGTTGACGTCTGTTTGGAGGAAATATCACAGTATTCTGTGATCGCTCAATGTTCCGTGGACACGCCTGTGGATATTTTACCATCGGGGATATTCATGTAGTTTTAATCCTCATCACGATTTTAAAATAGAGAACGCACAATAGAGGCTTGGCCCTCTCAGAAATGAGTAAATGAACACTAACCTACCAGCGGCTTCGTTTACAGTGGCTCAGTTTCCTCGGATATCCCGTCTGCCTAGCGGCGTGCTCTTATTTCACCCCGTCTAATGCTATGTCTGGAACTTGCAGCGTTGCGCGAGCAATTAATAAATAGATTCCGGCAGAATAGACGGTAATTAAATATTTTGATCAACAAATATTTTTATTTATTAAGTTATTTTTTTTTTGTTCTCAAACAGCTTAAGTCCACTACTCGCTCGGGAGCACATGCTTCTACATTTCACCTGTGCACAAAGGAAAATGACACCAAGCAAAGTAATACCAGATTCTAACAGAGCCGAGCCTTTAAATATGTAAATAAACATTATTTATAAAACTTTAAAAGTAAAGTAAAAAATATAACAGCGTCTTTTTCAACATGAAATACCCACAGAAACAGTAGGGCAGGCGCTCAAAATGATGCGACTGGTGTCTTCCCCTTGTCTCAAGGCTTCGCGGTCCGAGATTCCTTTTTTCCTTACAAAAAAAAAAGGCCTTGAAACGTTTTCTTCCTTTTTTTTCTTCTTTTTTGTAGAGTTCAGTCACACACCGTGAGAAAAATAAAACGTACGAATGAAATGGAGAACAGAAAATTGATAGCAGAACATTTTAAGACGGGGGTATCATTCCTTCCGACCCCCTGCGGTTTGGCAGCCTCTGAATAAGACGTCTCGTGAAGATCTTGCTAAGGTATTTGCAGGCACTGGAAATGTTTCGTGTGCTTGTGTTTGTCCCGATTTGCTTCTTTTCTCTTAAAATGATCTCGATCGCCGTTACCGCCGATCGCGCTGTCCGCCTGTCCGCTGCCCGGGGCGTCAGATGTCACATTCGCTGTCGCTAGAAGTAATGGAGATGGCCGAGGCGACGGCTTTGCCAGACAGGCTGGCTTCCGGGCTGGAGGCGGCACCAAGCCGGTCCACTGCGCTGTCCTCTTCCGCCAGAGACCGAACCGAGCCCTGGGATAGGACCTGCTGCTGTAACCTTGGCGAGAGAGGGAGAGCGGGGTCAGAACTCCAGAGAGCAGCACCTACAGTACGGCTCCCTCCACACTCGGCACAATGGCCGAAGGCGCCTTGCGCCCACAGCGGATAACCACAGGCTCTCCAGCGAACGCGAAATTCAGGTGAGATATTGATATATTCCTTGCACTCGGAAAAAT